GTAAGCTAAGGAGTCTAAATTTAAATCAGCAAGCAATGGGAAGGAGTGCTTAACAAGCGCCATTTACAACATTCTACTTTTTAAATATATTTGTATTGCTCTGAAAAATCATTCAATGTGACTTTAAAAATGCACACTGCATGAGAACATTAAAGGAGTGAAAATGGTAATCCAAGGGAAAATGGTAAGAAAAATTAAGTAGTCAGAAATATTGTCAATTAACAAAGTGGAGTATGGCCATAAAGGCCTATTTGCTAATTACCAGTAGAAGCTGTTCAGTTGACTTCAGTCCTCCCAACCAATAATATAAAAGAGTACACTATTAGTTAAGAGGCACAATATTCTACAGCAAAGAAAAACTAATCTCTCAGGAGAAGTACAATTATATCTTGATCCAGACAACATAAGAGCATTTCATCTTACACTTTTTATTTCAGGTACTGGGGCATTGAACTCATCTTATACTTTTTAAGTAAAATATAATATGATATGGTCAACAATATCTGTACAGTAAAATCCAAGTTTCTGGGGTTGTTTTTTGGTTCCACTTTTCTTTCTTTTTTTGGGGGGGGTACCGGGGATCAAACTCGAGACCTTGCACTTGCAAGGCAAGTGGCGGAAGGTTCTACTCTTCTATACAAATCAATAGTATCATGGCCAACTTCAGCTAACAGCCAACTTACAAAGAGCCAGTTAAAAAGAAAATATTAAGGCATCTAAGGATGTACACAGACTTATTCATATTCATCATTGGTGATCCTTCATAAAGTTTATTTCTCCTAAGTGCTTTCATTCTATCAAGGATTGCTGAAGTAGAGACAAAAGGGTAAGGAGAAAGTAAATGATCAGGTAGATTGGGCCAAAATCTGTTTCAAATACAAAAGTTCCTTTTTGGTATTTTTTATATCAGCTTTCTGTAAAAGATTTCATTTGAATTCAAATGGTTAAAAATTTGAAAACTCTTAAGTCCCTGATTGGGACCAAACTCCTAAGAATTAATAGTAAGTCAATCTAAGGGTAGACACCACCAAAAACACCTGAGCTGGGCCAGTGAGGCAGCTGCCCCTCCTCGGAGCTGAGATGCTCTGAATATCCATAGGTCACCAAATCTCACCCTACAAAGTTCTCTAAGCTTTTTTCCCTAAATTAAAAATCTAATTGGGTAACTACACAATTAGATACGAATCAGTAAACACTCACTGAAAGTATCAATGGGGCCTAAAGTAGAACTTTATATGGATTATCTCATTTAGGCTTCACCAACACTATAGAAGAGAGGAGATATCCTCCTCCAACACACATTCTTTCTTGTGGTAGGGGGTGCGGGGGTGGTGGTACTGAGGGGTTGAACCTAGGGCCTTGCAAATGCTCTACCACTAATAAGACTGTATCCCCAAGTCCTCTTTTTAAAAATTTTGAGACAGGGCCTCACTATGTTGCCCAGTTTGGCCTTAAATTTGCGATCCTCAGCCTCCCGAGTCACTAGGATTACAGGTATGTTCCACAGGGCCCAGTCACGCACACCCCTTTTTAATCACGTAAAAAAAATTGAAGTTACACTTGCCACTCATTGCCTCCATGCTGACAATCTTTCTAACACAATCTGAGCAACCAACAGCTCTTAGCTCTTGGTACCCTTTGGGTACCAGGAACAACCTTCTCTAGACAAGCTAATCAGACTTGGGTGAATTCCACCCAGTGAACCTGTCTAAAGTCAGAGGCTGGTGTTGAGAAGACAGAATACCAGACACTTAAGATGTACCAAGGCTATAAACTGGCAATTTAGTTCCATATGATTTCCTAGAAATCTTTTTAACAATCTCCATTTTTTCTTTCTTCAGTTATAATTTCTGTTCCCATGTGTTCTGGTCCTTGATTAAAATCTAGTAAAAAGTGATTTCTTTGAAAACCTAAGACTACTCTCAACACTTATAATATTTCTAAATACACAGTAAGTGAAATACACAGTACTACAATTTTAAAGTAGTAAAATTGACTACTTTACTGGGATCTAAAAACAAACAACAGATTCCTTTATAATAAAAGCATGAAATGAAACCTAGGCCTTCCTGACACTACTGCATTACCCTTAACATAGTTAGTCTTCAAGGGTGTTTCTGGATTATCAAGCACTCTACTAGCAGCTAAATATAAATACTAATTTTTATTTCCATAAAGCAAATGGCTCACTTTGATCCCAAAAGCAGTAACTGATACACCTCAATACTTGCAGCAATATGCCTGACTAAACTGTTAATACCTTCGTTTAAAAAATAACTATTATAATGAATTTTATAACTAGTCTAAAATAACTTGACTAAAACCTAGAGAAAATATACCTAACCAAGAGTCTTACAGAAATATTTATGCTTCTTTTTCTCTTCCTTTATGGAGTAACAGCTAGTATAAGGGCCAATCTTCTATGTTCTAGTCAAACAGAACTGTGACACCAATAAATGTCATGGTTAGTATACATGCATTATCTAGGATGTCTAACTATCTAGAACAGCACTGTCCAGTATAGTAGCCATTAAGCTACATGTAGCTACTGAGAATGTGAACAGGAGGCCAGGGGAGTAAGATTTCTATTCTGCTGTGCTGGGAATGTTTCTTATGATACTTTAACTGATAATGAGATTTTGTGATTTCCAAATTCTTAATCCTAAAGCTTTAAAATCTATTAAGGGGCCAGGGATGTAGCTCAGTGGTAGAATGGTTGACTGGCAGGTACTAGGCCCTGAGCTGGATCCTGAGTATCAAAAATATCTTTGAGGATTTATAATATAGTACTTAGTATTCCTTTTCTCAAAGAAGAAATACACGTTTAATAATAAAAATCACAGTAATAATTTGCACATTTTGACAACTCAATTACGACAACCCTATCAGCAAATTATTACTCTGTCTTACAAATTAGAACATCAAGGCACATATCGGTTTAAGTAATTTGCTCAATATCACCTGGCTAATAAAGGGGACACCTAGGATCTGAAACCAGGTAGTCTGACCCTACAGCCTATTACTCAACTCATCCTGCAACCCAGGAACTCCATCTTAATTACTATGTAATACAACAGTAACTAAGAAGCTAAAATGCACTTGTAAATCTAGGTAAAACTGTGTCACAGAAGTGGGTTCATCAGTGAGATGCCTAGGTACTATGGTAAGCTAAAGAGTAGGACAAGACAGAGGGGAAAGAGTAGAAAAGTGTTATTATGGTGCTCACATATTCCTACATGTACGTTCTATCCCAGTAAAATTAATTAGTTTTTTCCTAGCACTTACCTCTAGTCCCTTGACAGAAGAGTAATATAGAACACAGAGAATCATCTTGGAGAGATAAAGGAGAAAATGAAATTCAGGATCAATTTGCTATCATACAATTGCCCCAAATGCTCTCTAAGTATGAAAGCTTCCTTCCTTCTAATCTCATTTTAAAAATCAAAGTTTCATTAGTACATTCCAAAGACTTTTTTCACTTTTAATTTTGATACTAGTTTAAAAAGCGTGAGAAAGGAATATTGTTGAAATACTGTAAACAAAACAGCAGCACCAAATTAAACTGGGATTTAAAAGTGAAATGCCAAATGATTGACTAGACAGTTAGAACTATTATAGATCTTAAAATTTCATTAAAGTGAGGTTTGTCATCATTAAGCAAAGAGATTACAATAAAGATTAAGGGCCAGATGATCTCTGGAAATTCAGACAGCACTGTGTATCTACTGGCCAATCCAGAAAGGAAAAGAATGGGGCAAAAAGAACCTTTGAGTTTTCCACTACTTTTGAATGCAGCTAACATGTATTTTCTTCATTTCTGGCATGTATCTTTTGACTACTTTCATAAGAATATCCATATTCAATGTGTATTCTTCACCTGCTTTCTGTCTTCTCATTCACTGATTCTAAAGATAATCCATTTTGATTATTCCTTTAGACATTAAATTTGTGAGATAGATATATATATACATATATATATTTTTTTTTTTTTTCTTTTGTACTGAGGATTATACTCAGGACCTTGCGCTTACAAGGCAGGCAGGGCACCACTGAGCTAAATCCCCAGCCCTACATTTGTGATATTAACAAGAGTAAGCTCAAGTAAAGTATAAATACAATGCAAGCAAGTAACATCCTTCTTACCCTATGCCTCATTAAGCAGTTACCAAAATTTTATAAATTTTATCTACATTCTCATCATCCTGCTCAATACAATGTTTTACATTTTAATGATCCCATCAGTGTAAACCATGAATGTTCTTTTAAAGGGGAAGGGCATCCAGTTTAGAGTCTCATTTCTAAAGTCTTTGAAGGAAAAAAAAATGAATAAAGTAGAAAAAACAAACAGACACCTTCCCAAATGCATTCTTGAGGTGATAACTTTTAATAAGAGAAAAAAAGGCGGGAGGGGATTGTTTTTCATCAATAGGGATTTACATTACCAAAGAACTTTTAAAAATAAAACAGGCATGTTTAAAACATGTCCACTACATTTAGGAACAAAAGTTCCTTTATTTTGAAGTAAATACTCTCGCTGATGAAATTAATATCTTATTTTCAGAAGCAATTTTCTACATTAATATCAAATATCACATTCCTAAAATACATTTTTTATGGTTGGTCGACTGAAATATTCATTTTTAAGGGCTGAAGTCAACTAGAAATAAACTGCAATCTGAAGAATTATAATCTTCCATTTCACAATAATAAAATTAGTAATGCAGACTCCAATATTTAGAACAACTTTGAAAAAAGATAAGTGGTGGTTAAAGACAGCTGTTAAGTATCACTACATAAAAAATATTTTATAAATAAAACTCTACCACCCACTCCACCCTCAGCATCCTACCCCCCAGGAAAAAAAAAACAGTAAAAAACACCCTAGATCCTAAAATATGTCTTATAATGCTGACTGAGATATACCTGCAAACACTTTAGACTTTAAAATAATCAAGTTCTACGTCCAATGACATAGGGTACAGGCTTAAGTCTCTACTCACACAGTGGAGGTTGATGAGCAAACAGCTGTCCTGTATCTTGAGACAGACATTAGCTTCCTGCCTTCCCTATCCTCATAAGCAGCTACTTAAAGTTTGAGTTTTATGCAAGAAAACATTTTAAAGCCTTCAGTGTTTTATTGCAGCAGACTTCAGATTCATTCCTGTAACACATTTAACATGAAAACAGTTGAGACAGTTAAAATTTATTATGTGCCCACATTTTAATCATCTCAAATTTTAAGGAGTACTGTCACTATTATAGCTACATAAAAGGGCTACTGAAATAAAAATAAGAAATAAAAAATTCTACCATTTTGTATTTGACACTAATGTAAAAACATAACAATATATAGCTTTAACCTATCCATTCTTCTATACCAAGCCACAGGCTCGGTAAGCAAGGATTACTTTATATAATCATTAATACCCAAAGTAAACAAAACTAGATACTTTTCTGTTTTCTTAAAGGTTAGCCAATTGGCCATCAATTAAAGAACACCTCTACAAGTATTTCAGAGCCTTGAGGGTCTCAAGTATAATCCTGTTACAGCTTCTGACTAGGAATAATGAGCATCTAGTCCTGTTGTTACATTTATCATAAAAGCTTGTAGCACCTTCCCCCACAAATTCAATTTCTATAGTACCATCACTGCTTCAAGGTTAATTAGGTGATAGAAGACCTGGGGTGGGGGAAGATGACCTGCATTTCCACAAGAAATATTTGACCCTATTCAAACAAATTTTCAAATCAAAACACAAAAATCCAAAAGCGTTACAAATTAGGAAGTAAACTATGATATGATAAAAAAATTGTCATTTCTTCATTCCATTAACAGTGTATTGCATAAGCAGTCATAATGACATTTTTCTCTGCAGAAATAAGTAGCAAAAAAGTGTTTAACTTAAAGAATTCTGGCATGGTAGCGCACACCTGCAATCCCAGGACTTGGGAGGCCAAGGCAGGAAGATCTTCAGTTTAAAAACAGCCTGGGGCTGGGGATTTAACTCAGTGGTTCCGCCGGCTGCCTTGCAAGGGCAAGGACCCAAGTTCGATTCCCAGGATCAAAAAAAATAAATAAAACCAGCCTGTACTACACAGCCAGTCAATTTTTTAAAAGATAACATTCTTAGATAAAAATGAAATACTATTTAAAAATTCGACACAGGTAATTCTTAGTAATTTTGTTGTCTATCTTTACCCAATCTACTTTTAAAATAATGGTCTAGTAATATTACTTTAAATAATAGTCTAGTAATATTACTAGTAGTATGAAATTTAGTGCATGATTGTACCAGAAACCCACACACAGGGGATAATTTTAGGCTTAGATGTTTCAATGATTTTCTTTTTCACCTGATTTTTTCCTACAATTTCAAGTGAACAGCAGGCAAAATATGTATATGAATATGTATATGTGTATGTATAAAAATGCCCTAGAAAACCCAGGTAACTACTTTCTCCCTACATGTACACTGGCTTTGGTGCACATTATTTTTATTGGCCTCAATTTCTATAAAAATCTAAGGAAAAGCTTTAAGATTTCATGAACATAGTACATGTACTATTTATAATAGCAACATGGTTTAAAAACACCATGAAAAATAACATCGAACCACTCCAATTTCATTAATTTAAAAGTTATTTAATGCTCAAATACTGCACATGCGCCATGCTATAAAAGATGACTTTGTTTATAAAACAACAAAAATATTCCTTTATAATCTTCTTATATTATATATTGACTATATTACATACATACACATATATATATATATGGAGAGATACATAAAGGATTTAAGAAATTCAAAAGCTCATAAAAAGTAACTTGATAAGAGTATCTTTCACTTAAGAGGTTTATATTACATGCACATTTAATCCTCACTCCACCTAAAAAGCAGATGCTATTATTACAAACTCTTTACAGATAAGGAACTGAGATACATAGATATTAGGAATTTGTTCATGGTCACAGAGCTAGTAAATGACAGAGCTGGGATTTAAGGTCAGATCTATTTGGCTCCAAAATCTGGTGGTACCCATAGATTAAAGAGAAACAGTGATCTATTATTGTACTGATAGACCAAACTATATCTGGAATTAGTATCTGGGGTTGGAGATCATATATTAAGTATAATATTGATAAATGAGTGTTATCAGGAACCCAAAGGGATAGTTATAAATTCAGTGAAGCCATCCAAGAAAAAATATAAAATGGAAGTGAGTAGCCTAAAGAAAAAAGGAATATATTTTGAAGGGCTGTTAAAGAAAAAAGAGCAGACTTATTTCATGTTGCACAAGAATACTTAAAACAATGTACAGAAGTCTCCAGAGACAAATTCCAGTTCAACATTCAACACTGTGTTGAAGCACACAGGAGCTGTACAGGTTCCCTCTTCCAGTTGTGATTAAGTATCCCCATCATTAACATCACAAGAGTAACTGATTCAGGTAAAACTGCCAATGTTAAAACTCTACGAAGGGAAGTTTTATGAGGATTGAATATATTGAGTCTCAAAATATTTCCCCACAAAGTTTTTATTATAAAAAGAAAAATAACTTAAGTGGAAGACCCTGGCAGGTATATTAGCCAGAAGACAAATTTAGTATTACTAATAACAAGACAAGTGGACATGCACCTCTTGTGATGCTATAGAAGCACACATACAAATGTTAACACACATCACAAATGTTAACATTCCCTCCAGAACTACATTTTCTAACTTTAGCCATGAGCACATCTGATGAATCCAAATTGAGGGAGATTCTATAAATAAATGGTCTTCAAAAGTGTCAGTGTTGGCCAGCGATTTAGCTCAGTGGTTTTGCCGCCTGCTGTGCAAGCACAAGGACCTGAGTTCGATCCCCAGTACCAAAAAAAAAAAAGTGTCAGTGTCATTAACAACAAAAATTAGGGAAATGTTCTGATTAAAGGACAATAAAGAGATGTGACAACTAAAAGCAATGAAAAACTCTAGGTTGGATACTTATCTGGAAAGAAATTATAAAGAACTTTACTGGGAAGCTTGTGAAATCTTAATGTGGACTGTGTATTAGACAATTAGATAACAGTGTTAGATTTCCTTACTTCACTAACTGTAATGTACTTAGTTATGCAAGAGAATGTCCTTGTTCTTGGGAACTACAGGCTGAAAAAAGTATCATGTAATAAAGGGGCATAACATATGCAACTTTAATGGTTTCAAAAAATAATCTGACATGAAATGATAGAACAGATTGGGCGAAATATTAATAGGTGAATCTTTATTAAGTGGCACATAGAAATTATTTGTATCACTGTAGCTTTCTATAAGTTTAAATTATTTCACAATAAAATTTGAAAGACAAATATTTTAACCTGATATTCTAAGAAACCTGAATACCTAACAACAAAACTAGACTGCATATCTCACAGCCACCCTCAAACTCGAATGTTAAAACAATCTAAACTTTATGATTATCTATTCAGTGAGTTACAAGAAACAGTGGTCTGGTTTAAAACATCAAATATGAGTGTCAAATGACATGTGCCATCCCACTGATGACCAGATGTGACTCCTCCTCTGAGCCTTATTATTCTATTGCAGCCTTCCCAAAACTACACTGCTGCTAAAGAGACCAATTTTTCCACTAAAATACTGCTTTTCTTCAATTGGGAATGCAGTAGCAAATGTGCCCCTGTCAAGTTCTCCACATTAAGTTAATTTCTGGTTATGCTAAATAGCAAAATAGAAACATAACAAGAGCTAATGAGTGATCAGTATCAAACACAGAAAACACTGCAAACAAAAATCTGTAATATCAGTAAAAAGATGAGGAAGCACACACTCACTGCATAGTACCTGGAAAAGATACCATAATCTATTATGAATCACTACTACTGCCAGATCTCTCTATTTTCTTTCCAATTTTTTCCTACTGATCTATATTTAAACTCCCAATTCCCTGAATGTTTTAGGTAGATGGCACTGTAATAGAAGTCAGAAGAACTCACCCTGTGAATGAAATTTGACCAATTCGCACCTGATATTTAAGTCACTTTTAAAAGTAAAATACCAAACTTAAGAAATATAGGACATGTACATGGATGCGTGCACGCATGTGAGTGTGTATATGCACGTGTGTGAGAAAGGAGCTTGCCTTCTGATTTAACATTTATCATATTCCTGCCAAGGCGATTATAACATCTAAAACACAGCTCATTTCACAGGCATTCATTAAGTCATTAGTCAAATCAACAAGGTCATGTAGCTGAACTACAAATCTCTAATACATGATATCATGAATCAAAAACCTTGAGTTGTAGCTTTTTCTGTATTTACCTTAACTTAAATGCCATTAAGTCCTAAACCTTAGGATAAAGGAGATGGTACAGAAAGAATTGAAAACAGACTGCCAGGAATGTAGCTCAGCAGCACAGGCATCTGCCTGGCAAGTGCAAGTCCCTGAGTCCAATTCCTGGTACCAAAAAAAAAAAAAAAAGAAAAGAAAAAGAAAAAGAAAGAAAGAAAGAAAACAGGCTCTGAAGCAGTAAGACTGAGAACAAGGTAGAAAGATCAAGGGCACTGAATGTACATCACAGCCAAAACTCAATGTGCCTGTCTGAATTCTAGCATAGTCTTGTAAGTTAAAGTTTTAAATAAGAAATATCATTTTAGGAGAGGTCCAGTTAAGGGAAAAGGTAATAGCTTTTTGGGGGAAATGGATAAAGAATAAAAGATGAATAGGTGGCAATTTGTTCTAAAATGTTAAATTTTTGGTTTAATAGAGACTTTTTAAATCTTCTCTACCAAAGTAAAGAAACGAAATATTACACCTAAAAGTTTTCACTCCTAGGTATTGACACAAGCCATATTAGGACTTGCACTGAATGTTCATAGTGATGTTATTCTTAACAGCCAAGAACTGGAAACAACCCAAATATACACTAATGGTAAATAGACAAATAATGATAAATCACACAATGGAATACTAATCAGCAATAAAAAGGAATGAACTACTGTTGAATATATTATAGGTGAATCTCCAAATTATTATTCTAAGTGAAAATTAATAGGAAACAAAAGATTATAATGTATTATTTCATTTATATGAAATGTGACCAAAAAAATACAACTATAACAGAGAAAGCAGATCCAGGGACTACAGACGGGGACTAGGGTT